TCAACAACCTTAAAAAATTCCACCCTTGAAAGTCCCTTTCTTTGTTCTGAGTTAGGAGTCTTTGTAAATAACATTCCAATACAATTGAAGACGACGTCAGGAAGGACGAAGTCAATTTCACTTCAAACTTGATTGTATTAATAATGTTATTTTAACCTCTCCCATTTCGGATCACATCCAAAAACAATAAAAAAGAATCAAATTCATTCCATTAATTTCTAATCGTTTACAAAGAATATTTCAAAAAAAAAAAAAAAAAAAAAAAAAAAAACCCAAGGGGCCAAGGCCGAATCTAGTCAGTAGTCTGGTCCGGGTTGGTCGAAGGCTGCTCGGGGTCATCCGCAGGCTGGCTCGGTTGGTCAACACCTTCAGTTGACTTCTCAGCACCTTCAGTGACCTCGTCACCCTCGTCTCCCTCATCCACCACCACAAATTCAAAACTGAACTTGGGAGGCAAAATGGTTTGACCCCTGCTGTCCTTCTCCCACTTCAGTGTTATCTCCGGGCGGAAGTTAGCAGTACTGCTCTCCCCATTTTCCTCCACCTCCCCTTCCTGCTCTCCGAAGGTAACTTTCGTCACATCGACATCAGGATATTCCACTTTTACCTTCTTCCGGCAGTCAGAGAAGGCCACAATGGCAGTAGGAAGGCGATAGAGGTTGACGATATCCTCGAAGGTGCTGGATTTCAAGAACCCCTCCACATGCTCTTCAACTGAGTTATGAACCTTGAGCTCCAACTCAGCCACCACCTTCTCCGCCTCCTCCACCTCCTTCTCCCTCTTCTCCAGCTCGGCCTCGCATATCTTCCTCTTTTGGTACGAGCTCTCCGAGTCCTTTTTGAGGGTAATGTTCTCCTTCCGGAGTTCCTCCATCTCCGCCTTCAACTTTTCCACCTCGGCCTCGGCAGCCTCGTTCTTCTTGACGAGTTCGGCGTTATCTTTCCTCATCTGGTTCCTCTCCTTCAGGCTCTCGTGATGCTCATTGGCCAAAGCATTCACGAGATTAACAGCCTGCACAGTACAACAACCCCAACTCGTCAAACACATAACAAAATTAAAATCTCTAAACCCAAGCGAAGAGATTATACCTTCAGCGTTTGGCGGACAACGCCAACTGAACCCCGGGCAGCCACCTCGTCCTTCGCGCGCTGGCGATCCACCTCCGGGAAGTAGGTGTTGATGAACCTCTTCGCTGTGCTCCTCATCCCGGAGTCATAAAAACTGGTCGTCTGCGCTCGAATGTACCCGTGCTCCCGAAGCGTAGCAGCAAACTCTGCAGCTGAGGCTGACGAGGTCCCTTCCAGGCGAAGAGTTGAAGTCGCAGGCGCTGACACCTCCTCCATCTCCACCACGGCCCCTTGTTGCTCCAACCTCCTCCTTTTCGCCACAATGGGCCCCTCCTCAGCAACCGTCACTTCTCCTCCAGCGTGGCCAGGTTGAGTGATGGCTAAGTCCTCCATTTCGGCCTGAGGCAGTGAAACCTCCTCTGCCCGCCTCCTAGCCTCGCCTCTCTTCCCTCTTCCCTTCTTCGGGATCCCAGTTCCACCAGCCGCGTCCAAAAACTTGTTCATCTCTTCTGCAAAACAAAGCAAGGTTAAACCTTGATCAGAATTCTTAAAGTACATCAACAATTAAAAGTAACACACCTCCCAATTGCGAGCTCGGCCTATATATCTCAGCCGCGTCTAACATCCTCTGGCTCGTGTACTCCATAATGTCCAACGAACCCACACCTCCTTTTTCCAACTCCCCCACATCTTCTAACTCCCCCGAGGTCAAACTATACTCATTGAGGTTTAACCCTTTCGTCTTCCAACGACTCAAGTGTTCCACCTCAGCATCAGTCTTATCCCACTCCGTATCATCCGCAAAAAAGAATTTATCTTTCCACCCTTTGATGGAAGATGGCCCGGGGCTAAATAAACCCCTCCTTTGCCTACCCACCACCCGGCCTGTAAAGTAAAACCACCCCTTTTCCCTACCACTCCCAGCATTCAAGACGTAAAAGTACTTGAATACGTTAGCGGTAGGAAAACTCACCCCCCGACTTCGGCTATACACCGCAAACGCCACCACCAACCTCACGGCGTTCGGGGTGAGTTGCGTCAATCCCAGACCGTACTCTAGCAACAACCACACCAATAGGTCTGGGAGAGGAAATCGCAACCCAGCCGCCAAGTAATGAGAGTAGAGAGGCATCCAGTGGTCCCTCGGGGCCGAACACGCCCTCTCCCTACTCCCCGCCGGCCTCACCAACACACGCCCGGGCACCCCATAGTTCTCAACCAAATGGGCCAAACTACCCCTATTCTCCAAACTTGTT